GAGCCCGGCGGGCTCGAGTCAGCGCAAGTCGCGGCCCCGCGCACGCGCGCGCACTCATTCTTAAACCGCGATAGTTCAGGAGCGCCTCCACGCCCTAAAAGACGCGTAACCAATCATTGCAGCCGCGTGTGGTATCACGGGAACTCCGGGACTATAAAAGGCTGGGTTGCTATTTTGTACTCCGCGAGTCACTCATCCTTTAATTAAGTAAGGTGGGGCTAGGTGCGCATGCGTACTGCCAACACCCCGCCCCAAACTGCCAACGCTTAGTGCAAACGAGGTAGACCCGCCCTGCCTGGTATTACGCGTGCGCACTGGCGGACCTGATCCCGGAAGATCACACGCCTGCGCGGTGGGGACTACGGGGGACAGGGTCTGTGTTGACGCGCGGACCAATCATGGCGGAACCTTGGTCTGTGCAGTCCTTGCAGGCTTTGCCCGCAACAGTGGTGGGCGCACTGGGAGCCTTGGGCAGTGAGTTCTTGCGGGAGTGGGAGGCGCAGGACATGCGCGTGACCCTCTTCAAGCTGCTACTGCTGTGGTTGGTGTTAAGTCTCCTGGGCATCCAGCTGGCTTGGGGGTTCTACGGGAACACGGTGACCGGGTTGTATCACCGCCCAGGTGAGGCTCCGTACTAACCTCTGTGAGTTGGCCGTCCCTACCACCACCAGACTGTATCATTGGATTCTCCAGAAAAGTTAGACTACCACTGACCCCACCCGCAGCCTTTTCAGGATGCTGTGCCTTGTCAGAATAACATTTTATGCCAGGATCCCCACCAGTCCACCCATCACATTGTAACTGTTCTTCAGAACCCTCGACAGACAAAACCAGTAGTCCGTTAGGGCCCTATCACACGCTCTTCTGAACAATATTAGTGGCCCCTAACCTAACCTGAGCTGATGCCTGCTCAGATTCCCCACCCCCAGCCTTCTGCAGCTCTGGATGTGTTCCTGCCTCCAGGTCTGGGCGGCCAGAATGGATCCACACCTGATGGCTCCACGCATTTCCCTTCGTGGTGAGTAAATTTGTCCCTACCTCAGCCTCATGCGTGGCAGACAGCGTACACCCCTGTGCTGATTACAGAGGGAGAAATTCTCAGGGTATATAGTGGCTTTTGCAAAATCTTCCAAGTCTGCAGGTAGAGATTAGGCTTCAGGTTGGGGGTGACACCAGTGTCTGGAGAGTCATTGGCATGCTGTTCAGCATCCTTTGGGAGTGGGTAGAGTATTGTCATCCAGAGGCAGATCTGTTGATGGCAAGCCCATCAGTTGGAAAGGCAAGAGTTGGTTTACTACTGAGATATACCCTCAAGTCCTAAGAGCCTTTTTTTGTTGTTGTTGTTGTTGTTTGTTTTTTGAGACAGGGTCTCACTATGTAGTTCAGACTGCTCTGGAACTCATGCCTCAGCCTCCTGAGTGCTGGGATTACAGGCGTGCACCACCATGCCTAGCCTAGAGCCTCTCTTTTTTTTTTTTTGGTACCGGGGATTGATCTCAGGACCTTGTGCTTGCGAGGCAGGCGGTGGAACCACTGAGCTAAATCCTCAGACCCCTCTCTTTTTAACATACTGACTGACCTCGTCAGAGTTACATCCTCATCTATAAAATAAGAACTCGCCTGGGAGGTTGAGACAGATCTCAAGTTTGAGTACAATCTGGGCAATTTAGTGACTTACCATGACACTGTCTCAAAAAGGGGGCAGAGGATGGGGGTGTAGCTTGGTGCAAAGGCCCTGGGTTCAATCCCCAGACAGAAAAGAACAAACAAAACTTCACTAATCAAGGCATTCATTCAGTATTCTCTGAACTTTTACTATATGGCAAATGCCACACTAGGCCCAAAGAACAAAGGACAACCTGGTTGGTTCTGCTCACGGGAAGCAAGAGATTTATAAGGAGAGGAAAGCAGTACAAGGGTAAGGGTCATTTGGAAGCTATCTCACATGGCACCTAAACTGAGATTAAGGCTAGGAGATGGCATAGTGTACTGGGCAAGGGAAATGGATGGAACAATACCCATAGGAAAGGACTAAGGTGACATACTAGAAGAGATAAGAGTATGATGGTGGAGTTTGAACATGAAAGCATAGAGTGGTGAAGGACAGACTCAGCAAGGATATAACCTGATCTAATTTCCCTTTATAACTGCCTGCTTAAAGGCAGGTAAAGGGGTCCAAGAATAAAGGCAAATGCCCATTTAGAAAGAATGCCACTGCCCAGCTTTCTATCATAGGCAACTGGGAAGGGATGGCAGCATTATAATGTGGGAAACCAGGAACAAATATGCAGCGGGGCGGAATAGTGGTCCCACAGTAGGCTGTGGGAGATCAGCAAAGAGATTTAGATTATAGTGCCACCTTACTGAGCCCAGCTCAGCCTCCAACAGGAGTTGGAGAGAGCTAGTCTCAGAGGCTATTTTGCTGCCTATAAAATAACCTTTCTTTCTTCATCACTTTCAGGGAAATGGCAGCAAATGAACCTCTCAAAACCCACAGAGAATAAGAGAATAAGGGAATGCAGCAGCAGAAAGGTCTCCAGAGGCATCACTGGGAGAGCTGGATTCTACTTTTTTTTTTTTTTTTTTTTTTTTTTTTGAAAAGGTTTCCCGTTGGAGCCGGGTTTTTTT